TTCTGTTGCACAGACAAGGTTCAAGAAAACAAAAATCAGCTCAACAAGGTGGTGAGTACGCAGAACACCCTGGTGCAGAAATTAAACGAACTTTCGAGTCTGCAACAGGAGCGCGCCGTCGCTGCTGCTGCCACCAGCGCCACCGTCGGCCAATTCGCAGTGCCGCAGCCGCCTTCTTCCTCCGCCTCCTCTCTATCCGGAGTCGCTTCCCCTTCGACGGAGATGCTGAAGTCAGCAACCAGTGATGCCGGCGTTTCACCCCAGTGGGCAAACCTCATGATGGAACAGCGTACGTTTCTTTTTGTTCTGTTGCTGATTAAATCTATTGTTGAGGTGGCGCTGACATCATCCCCGTTCCAGGCAACTACTATTATTTTCTCCGGCCATTTTTACTCTTAACCGTTCTTGTCTCGGTTATGTTAAACTTTGTGCCGAAATGTTCGGCTATTCTGTCATCCCAAGCTCTTTCATCCGGTTCTTTCGGCCTTAGTAGAAACAAAAGTGGCCCCTTTGTTCGTGTTAGGTTGACGCTGGAGAATCCTTAGCGCGCGACGACTCACTACGGTAAATGTAAGGTCATATCAGTCGTGGTCTGGAAGGTTGCCAACTGGCGTGAGATAACTCTGCTCGTCTCAGCACTGATGGTCAGGCCTTTATGGCATTCTCGCTGACTTGAGGTCCGAGCTCCTCCAAATATAGCTTGGTACCCCTGAAGTGGAGAACAAACCGCGTATGTATGTGTCACGCGCGTACACAGGCCGACTGATTGTGTCAGACACTGCGCCCTTGCTCACCTCCGATCGCCTTTACTTTTTTTCTGTGTTGGATCAAGGTGGGCGAGGGAGGAAGGAGTGTGGTAGATGCGGCGCAACTCTGGCTCACTACGCAGTCAACACTATGTGTGTTTTTGTCTGTAGTGGCTGTCTAGCCGACTGAGGGTCAGGCCGCAATAGCTACTTCTTAATATTTCCTGTATGGCACTCACATTCTGTGAGCTCCGAGCTAGGCGTGGTGGTACACCTAGAGGGCCGTCTGGCCGCACCTGTGCCCTCTCCCGCCTCCGATTTTCTTGACTTGGTCATGACACCGGGCCCAGGTTAGGGAGGACGGGAGAGTTCAGACGATTTTGTCCGAATCTACGACCTCTAAAATGTAAAGCACGTGCAAGTAATCGTCCCCATGGTGAACATCGCCAGACAAGACAGTAAAACTGTCCTGTGCATGGACCAGTAATTATTGCAAGTTGGTATAAATAACGATGATTTCTGTGGGGATCCTTGTTGTATGTGAGTGATCTGTGTCCTACACAGAGGACGCATGCTCTCAAGACAACACGGGTGTCTCACACAATCACCAGATGAAGACGAGGAAACATGTGCCCGCATGAATCCTTGGATGCGCAGCAAGATGCGCCCCTACCAAACAGAAGTTACGCCGAGCTAGCTATCTGGGG